GTCAGCATAATTTGCCAAAAATTCTTTTACCTGAAGAGCCTGTGATGATGATGACAAATGGACTATGCTCTTCTTATAGAGGTCAGTCAAATATTCTGGAAGTGTATGTCCTTTCTTTACAGTTGTATTTCTTGCTTTAACGTTGACTGGCTCTACCTCCTGGCACACACCCAACAACCGATACAAGTCCTTTCTTAAATAAAACTGGTTTATTCTTTCTGAATACAACTTTGCGATACACTTAATTTCAACAGTCGCTCTATAACAAACGCTATAATTCACAACGAACTTCTCACGTGCTCAACAATATTTTTACTCATTACCTGGGGTTGTTTCTTGGCCGGTCTTATATATACAAGACTACCCCAATCAAGTAGTCTCCCAACATTTCATGAAGGTTCGAGAAGGAAGTGGCGTGATACAAACGTCACGTGACCTGCGTTGTCGTAACAATATGTTTCCTTTATGTGCGATGCTTTTCATACACATATATTACAAATGTAAACCTATTTTAATCACTACACATTGATAGCAAATACATACACACACGTTTGATATCTTAATAAACGTTGGATCTAAATGATGTTTTATTTTCAACTTCTTTTTTTCACACGATGTTCTAACTTTTGTTAAGTTACTGGTAAATATATGTTAGTTATTATTTACAGTAGCAATATGATTAGTAGAAAATCAAATGATTTCTATTTATGCAAACGTTTTCAACGACGTCTACGAAAGAGGTTTAAAATAAACTACTGTAAACTCCAAGGAATAATTATATAGATAACGAAATAATCAGTAACTTTTTCTTGTTATAAAATGTTACTTGATGTAAATTAATCTGAACTTATGTACAAAAAAGCCCGATATAAATCAGTTTACAGTTGGTTCGGTTCGTTTCAAACAACAATATTTAGTGTGACTAATTATGTTATTCGGTTTATATGCATTGTCATTTACTCACCACTAATAACCTAAAATACGTTAAGTGTTTGGATAACACGTGACAATTAATTATCAATTATTACACAGCGGATTAACGGAAGAGGCGAAACAAAGAACAGAACAGATATCTACATCATATTTTCTTCACTGAAATTCATGTTTTGATGATGACAATATGTTAACAAATAAATGAATCAAGCCATTGTTCCTCCCAACAATGTTTTTAATCTATCAGTTGAATATACAGCCACCTTGGGGAAAGTAGTTTGTCAAGGGTGCAACAGTTTTCGTTTACAATAGTATCCATTAATTAATTAGTTGTTATAAATATAATTTTGTTCACCTATATTCTAATCTATCAGCTTAGAAAAAACATGAGATCCTACGTGTAACTGCGTAACTATTATTCGGATCATTAGTCAATAACTGTACTCTTACCTCCTTGGTAACCTCAGGATCCATCCTATTAGACTCTTGATTGACTAACCCCATGATGAAGCTGTCAATCATCCCTGGTTTATAGAGGTCGTAAGGTTGTCGCAGTTGTTTTGCCAGACGGACCGATTCTAATATTATGTAAAAATAAGATAAAAATTAAAACAATAAAATGGTTCTTTTTTTGATAGTATAAATTACTTCACACCTACTAAGTAATCTATTGATTGATTATTCTGTTTATCTACTAAACGGTTTATAAGCATGAGTACACTACAAGCAACATGGTCTTATAACAAAAGTACAGCAACTTGACGTCTAAAGATTTTGGCAATAATTATACTTTACATTTACCCGTGATATATTACATAATATAAACGTCTAAAGGAACATCAAACAAAGGAAAAACAATGTTTAATTAAAACTGAAAAAATAAACCGTGTGAGTTTACCAGTTTCACCTAATGATTTTATAACGAACCCTATTGTAGCATTCTGTGACAATAAAAAAACAGCATATTTTATTAATACTGAAAACTAATAGTTTATAGTGATACCTACATAATCATTTGTAACATTGTAAATTTTTATACGTCTATAGTCGTTGTCGTCGAAGGAAATAAAGAGTTTAACTAATATCAAAGAATGGAAATATTACAGTGTCGTCTACCTAACTCATCGTGAAACTTATTATAGTAGTTGGGGTGGCAAAATAATAAAAAAAAATTTTAATTCGAACTAAAAAATAAAGAAATTGTAGCACTATCTCATTATAAAACTGATTATTGCACTTACTTAATATTAAATAATAATAAAAATTGTCTTCTATTTACCGAGTTTATCATGAAACTTGTTGTAGCGATCAGTGGCGTCAGTAAGAAGACTATGCCCGAAGCGAAAAGCTGCATTCTGGAAAGCTGTACGGATTCCAGAGTTGATCTTAGGGTCGTACCCTTCGTAGTAACCCTGTACGAGAATGACCTAGCAGTTAGAACTTGCTAAAAACTGTCATTAAATATTAATCTGTTATATTAATGAATATTAATTTTAGGGAAACAACTCACGAAGACAAGTACCAATCTCTCTGCATTACAAGTCAAACTTCAAGTTTCAATGGTCGCAGATTCCTGTAAAAGTCTTTAAAACTGGAGACACCAGGTGATGTGAGAGTTGGATTCTCAAGATGAAATATTCTTTTTAAGAATACTTCTTACCTCCTAGTCGCATTGATGTCAACTTATATTTGTTTTTCTTTTTTTAAGCATAAAGCTATATAATGGGGTATCTGTGCTGTACCCACAACAGGCAACAAATATCGATTTTTAGTATTATAAGCCTTCAGACTTGCCGCTGAGCCATTGGTGAGTGCCAACATATATATACCTAACCAAAATTATCGTAAAATTGTAGAATTAATATGTATATTAAGATTAATTTAGAGGTATGAAAATTAATTGTTTTTTTAACTGAAAAACAAGTCCACAGTCATTAAACAAGGTTAAATGTTTTCATCTATGTGTTGCTTTTTTATGTATAGAGACCTATATTTCCATGGACGCCCACAGAAATATTTTCAGGGAGGGGCGAAACATGTATGTAGGGGATCAACCTTTACAGGGTAAGTCAACAGACTAAAATAATATGTGTTATGTGTGGTTAAACGCAAACACAAGTATACAGTTAATAATAATTACTAAAAAATATTTAGTTTAACTACAATGTTAAGTTTACATCATAATACGTGCAATTTTTTTGTGAAATGTAAGGGGGGCAAAGGTCCCTTCTTGCCCCTTCCTGCGGATGTCCATGCATATCACTACATTATTCTGATGAAACTTTGATAGATGTGTAGTTATTACAGTTCTTAACAATGTATGGATTATACTTTGTACTAACAATATGTTGTATATTTTTGTCGTTCCTTAAAGTTATAGAATCATAACTTCCCCTTATTGATTTTTGTCCATTAACAACATTACATTTGTCGTTCCTTAAAGTTATAGAATCATAACTTCCCCTTATTGATTTTTGTCCATTAACAACATTACATTTGTCGTTCCTTAAAGTTATAGAATCATAACTTCCCCTTATTGATTTTTGTCCATTAACAACATTACATTTGATCTTGATGAAATGTACAGAAAATTACCAGTTTGCATCTGATGAAGATTGTTTGTTTGTTTTTGAATTTCGCGCAAAGCTACACGAGGGCTA